TATTCAGGAATTCCCTCTCTCTTTTTCAGGGGCAGAGCAGTTCCTCTGGATGATCACACCCAGGACGGTCATCGGAAGCCGATTCCTGCAAAGTTCCCGCCAACACTCAGACACACATTGTCGGTGGTGTGCCATTTGGAGACAAAGTTATAGTAGTGATTATTGGACTTGACATTGTCCAATTCTAGGACGAAGACCAGTTTTGTGAGCTTAGTAGCTCTGCTGAAGGGCTCAGGCAAGTGCTCCCTGTATCTTTCGTTCACGGCCTTCTGCACAAAGGTCACCATAATGGGCTGCTCCTTTCCATATTTCTGCATCAGGAACTGCACTGACATCGCCACTTTCCTGAAGGGAAGATCTTTCAGTTCACTCTCCGTGGAGCAACTTGTAGTTTCACAGCAACTTGTACTTTCTCATATTGGCTTTTGAAGCCTTTTTCAGACTTTATGTATGAAATGCCTGTAAGTAATGATGGAGTAATGGATAATGATAGAGGATGGGGATCTATGAGGCTCTGAGGATGCTGGGAGTGGGGGACTCAAGGGAGCACCCCCAAAGCAAGAAATGAGGAGAAGGGGACACTTCCTTGCTGCAGTGGCCTGAGAATAGTTGAGATTGTGAGTCTGACTCCGGGCCTGGTGTGATTTCTCAAGTGGATGATGCACCTGGAGGAGGGAGGGTGTGATGGTGTGGACATCTTGAGCGCGGAGATTGCACCTTGGCTTTGCCCAAGGCCGCCACGGCAGGTTTCATTGGAAGCACTGCTCTTGGTCCCCACAAATCTCTCCAATCTAGTCAGCTCGTGTACGGTACGTATGAACAGCTTTCTGGATGTCATTCATTCTCAATTAAATGTCTTTTTAAAAAAATAAAGACCTAAACATATTGTTATTGTGCCACCCAATAACATTGCTTCTTGGTATTTAGCCAAATGAGTAGGAAACATACATCCACAATAAACTGTCAGCAGAAGACAGTACTGAATGTAAATCATAACTGAAAAATTAAAAATGAGCAACTTTTTAATTTTTTTTTTGTTGAAAAAGTTATAATTTATTCCAGTGAGATATGTGTAACTGTGTGTAATACCTAGGGTCAAATTTGAAGCTGTTAAATAGACGATATAAATGTGGGACAGGCACCACTGTAGACTATGAGAACCATGATCTTACACAGAACACAGTCTCCTGTAGATGTGATGTCTTCATTGATTTAATAAGGGGAGTAAGGGGCCGTTGCTATTGAAGATCTGATATAGTCTCTGATCACAAAATTTGTGTCCTTAAATCTAACTAGGGCAATTTCAGTGGAATTATTTTTGACTTTAGCTAGATGTCTGAGGTATTTTTGTAATGAGCAAATCACAGTTTTGCACTGAAATATTCAAACATTTTCCTCATCTGTTTTTTAAATTTTTGTATATTTTTTTTATTTTCAAATAGATTTGTCTCTGCCTTCCACCCACCACCTTCCCCTGCCCCCTTCCCCCCAACCCTTCCCCTTTGGTTTTATCCATGAGACTTTGCTATATGTTCCTTGACTTACCCCTTTCCTTCCTTTTCTCCCACCCCCTCTCTTTCCCTCTTGTCTCTGTTGGTTTCTTTTCCTTTCAGTGTTGTTGGTCTTATTTTCCTTGCATCTAAATGAGTAACATTTTAAAACCCTGCACACATATCCTTATAGGGGCTCTATTCCTAATTGCCAAAATTTAAAATCATCCACGATAGCATTTTAGCAGGCTAATGCATACATAAACTGTGCTAACTCTGGAGAAAAAGATATGAGCCTTCAAGCCATGAGAGGACATGGAGGAAGCTTAATTATATATTACTCTGTGAAACAAACCAATCTTAAAAGGCTACATTCTGCATGACTCCACCTGTATGACATTCTGGAAAAGCCAGCAGTATAGGAAAAGTAAAATGGTCAGCGGTCGCCAGGGATTAACAGGTAAGGAGGGATGAATAGGTGGAGCAGAGAGCATTTTTAAGGCAGTGACACTTGGCTGCATGAAACTACAATGTGGCTACAAGTCATCATACCTTGGTGAAACTCCCAAAATGTACACCACCTAGAATAAAGTCTAATGTAACTAAAGACTTAGCATGCTAACAATGTGCCAAAGTAGCCTCGTAGGTTGGAATAACTGTTGCAGTGTTGCTCATGGGGGAGGCTGTGAGTGTTTCTGGTAAGAGGGTATTATATGGGCAGCCTCTGCGCTTTCTATTCACTCTGCTAAAAAGCTAGAACTTCTGTACAAAACAAAGCAAGTAAAAATGGGAGGGAGGGGCCTCACTCTCACCCGAAGCACCTCGGATTTAAATCTTGAGTGCGGGTTGAGGTCCTATGATGGAGATTCCACTGAGAGTTCCAACTTAGTACCTCAAGTCTGAATCCTGTGAACACAAAACATTCTCTCTCTGCTAATGCGGGGTCTGTCCTCTGTCCACACTCCAACCCCTCTATCAGTCCTGAAAAGGGCGTGATACCCTGTCTGCCTAACATTTATTCCCAGATCTCTCATGCCAATGTAATGGGAAGATTTAGGAGAGGTCTCTACTGATAAGAGTTTGGTGGTCTTGAACTCTTTATGGTACTCACCTTCCTCCAGGCACACCTTGGACATCCTAGCGATACTCGAGTCAAAGACCCTCAGAACCAGGTCTTTGCTTTTATGACGTCTGAAGTGGAAATCAGGTTCAGTCATATCCTGTCACGCCTGTTTCGGGACTCTAAGGGTTGACAGCCAGTTCGGGCGTTTATGGGCCTCGTTATTCCCTGTGGGTGCTCCCGTGGTTTGCTTTCAGGGTCCTCACCTTCATAGGTGTCAGAGACTAGGACCCTTCCCTCTAGTGACCTCAGATGATCCTCTTAGGGTGGCTTCACAAGTCCCTGGGAGACCCGAGGAGTGAGGGGATGCACAGGCTGACAATCTGCCTGGTATGTTGCTCTCGCCAGCCCAATACAGTAAACTTCCTTGGGCCTCCCATTTCTTGAGTCAAACCCTTCGGGTAAAGACCGTTCTTCTGTGAACTTTGACCAGCTTCCCTTTTGCAATCTCTTCAGAGAATGGGTCCCTGCTCCAGGAATGAAGTGAGACAAGGACGCCGTAACCCCAGGCTCAGACCCCAGGACAGAGGTCCTGTCAGTGCAAAAAATAATACATCAATGTATTCCTTCCTTTTCCAGCTAGATTGAGCGAACGGTGTGACTTCTGGGTGAACGGAGGGAATATCCTATGCAGAAGTCTCTGTCGACACTGCTTTTCTGAGCTCCTGATCTTTTGAGGTCCCCTGACTTTGGCTACGTAGATGATCGTATTTTCAGCACGTTATCCCTTTCTCTCTTTATTCACCTCTCAACTATTTCAAAATGCTTATTACTCTCTACATATTTCACTCTTGTGTTTTCGACACAGAATACGCTTATCACTGAGATATCTTTGGCAGAAGTGAGAAAAAAGGTGGATGAAGGGACTCAAAGCTGGCCTCTCCTTGGGAGGAGAGTGTAGACCTCAGACTAATTCAGGGCATGGGTCTTGTTCCTCCCCGTTCTCTTTGAGATTGTGCCGTCAGGCACAATCGCAAAGGCCATGAGCCTCAGTTTTGTCATCTGTGCAAATGGTTTGATAAGCTTCAACTTGGCACCCACTGGAATGTATGGAATGCATGCAAAGTGCTTGGCCTCTTTTGACTTCAATGTATTCCAGTGCCTACTGTGATTAATTTGTCCCTTGGGGTTTCAACTCACGACACTTAGACTGAGTTTTTAATCTGGGAGACGTCAGAGACTATCAGTGCCCTAGGACAAAGAAAACCCTATCAGGCAAAATGCTGCTGGACGAGGAGAACTCAGTCACATCCCCCCGCCCCCCGCACCTTAGACTATGTCGTTCAGTGTGCCCTGGTGGGAGGTGGACTTCCTCAGCTGATGTACCAGAAACCTCTCAAAATACGTTTGAAGGATCAAAGCCTTGCCTCCTTCTCTGCTGCCCTTCTTTCTAGGCTACTCCTTGTTTCAATCATGAAACCACCTGCAACAATTTAACCTTGCCTAGAGTTGGCCCCATTACACACAAGGAAACCTAACGCCAATGTCTTTTTAAAGGAACAGATTGTGACCTGGAGATTCCACTGCAGGGATTATACCCAAGAATCCTCAATCATCAATTCAAAAGAACCTGTACACCCCAATGTTCATAGGAACATTATTTACAAGAGCCAAGTGTTGAAGAGAGCTTAAGTGTCCATCAGCAAGTGAGTGGATCAAAATGTGTGTTACAGCCCAGGCGGATGTGCAGACTGAACACCAGTCTGCAAACCAAAGGGTTGCAGGTTCGATGGGCAGTCAGGGCACATGGCAGGGGTGCAGGTCTAATCCCCAGCAGGGGTGCGTGCAAGATGCAAACACAGATGATGTCTTTTTCCCTCTCTTTTTCCTATTCTGCCATTTTGTTTAAAAATAAACACATTTCTTAAAAATCAAGACAGTCTCAAGGTATCTGGGAGAATAAACTTATTTTTTAAAAAAAGAGCAAAGGGAATTGAAATGGCAATATTGACAATATTAGTTTTTCTCTATTTGGTGATTCCATATATTTAACTGTTTTGTATGTGTGCATCTCCAAGGAAATGCACATGTTACCCTGCACTAGGTCTCTTAGAAGATGAAGCTTTCCCCAATTTGTTTTGGAAAACAGCAATGCTCTCCTCTTAAACCCAAGAAACAGCAAGGGTGTCCAATATCATTAATTTAGATTCTAATGACAGATAAAATTTTCTTTAGCAGGAAACATAAAGAAAAACAGGAGAAAGTAAAGATACAGATGAACCTCCAAATTCCCACACAGAATAGGAACACTAAGGTATCCTACCCCATGTTTCCTCAGTCACACCCAGCTCTCCTCTGCTTGGAACACTGGCTGCTCTCTTCAACCACAAACTGAAGACTCGGCCTCAGCTTCACCCGGTGCGGGAGCAGCCTGTAGACATGGCCCCGAGTCATTCACTGCCATGGCGTTGGTGTGAGTTCTTCGAGGAACTGTAGCTTGGCCTTTTCCTCATTACGCAGTCTCTGGTGGTGGTGAGATTCATCTTGGCCCAAAACGCCAGCACTTTCATCTTGCTGGTTTCGTTGTGGGCTTTTCGACCCCACAGGATCTCGTAAGGTGGAGGATCACTGTTGGGCACCTGGTGGTGCTCCGGGGATTTGAGCTTCACAAAATCTTGGGTCATGAGCTTCTCTGACTCCCCGAATAGGAACTGCCTCTTTCCGGCATATAGTGTCATCTTGGTCAGGAATTCCCAGATCTTCTGTACAGTGGCACTGTTGCTGTTCTTGAAGACCATGCCCAGGATATGTATCAGGAGATCATACTTGGGAAAGGCCCTGCTGTCACCGCTCACCCTCCCATGGCTGGGGACATCCATTTTGCTGACCAGGGTAAATAATGCTTCGCGCCATCAACTTCCCTTAGGTCAGCGCCACATACCACCTCCTTCTTGGAAGACGCTCTTACGAGGATCTCATGGGAGCGATTTTTGTACTTTTTCTTGACACTTTTCAGCGATTCTGCCTTCTTAATAGGCTGTTTCATTTTGCACCTCTGCATCAGGAACTGCACTAGCATACTGACCATCTCGATCAGCCAGTCTTTCTGCGATTGAACCTGGGAAAGTGGGGCCTTGAAGGAATGTGTCTTGCTCTTCATGTTGCAGTTGGCTCCTTCAGATAATCCTGTGCTCGAAACATCTGCGGACTGAGAGATGGTGGACAGGGCTCTCTCAGGCCACTTGACAGTGTTACACGACTTATCACCAGGCTTCCTCTGCTCCCCAGCTTCAATAGAAGGACGGGGCGAGGAGGCCAGTACCTCCGCCATGGCATCCCCCTGATACAGGGCTTCACCGTGGGACCGGTGGTGTTCCTGGGAGACACAGAGCTTCCGTCTTCGACCCCAAGGCATGATGACTGTCAAGGACAGTAGTCACGAGTGCAGCAGGGAGAGCAGGCGATCTGGGCATGAGAAGAGAGAAGATGAGAGGGTGTGAACACCTTCTTCACGGAGATCCTACCTTGACCTTAGGAAGGCCACGTCTATAGCTTTCCTGGAGGGCAGTGCTCTAAGCACCTACAGAGCCCCTGCTCTGACCCACCTGTCCTCTGAGAGCCCCGTGGAAAGCATGAAAGTAGCCTCACGTTGTAGCCAAGCCATCCTGCCCAGTGCTCACTAGGCCTGACAGCAGTAATAGGCGTGTCCAGTTTTGGTGGAGCCCCGTCTGCAAAGGAGTGTGGGGGTCTCACATTTCACTCTTAACACCACCATTTCAGCTTTCAGCAGGACCTGGGCCCCTCCTCTGGGCTGCTCTACATTGATAAAAGAGTACCTTAAACCCGAGGCCTCATCTTCTTGGCATTGAGAGCCTCCTAAGGGGCACCTCGACCGACCACCCCTGGTAGGGGACACCCACTGCTGACAGCTCCATGGGACTCATTGTCCTGAGCTCGGTGGGGTCCCCATCCTCATTCAGAGTTCTGACCTCCACTTCAGGAAAGGCTTTGGACACCTGCTTCTGCGGATCTGATGTTCCTATACTCAGGAAGGCTCTCAACAACATACCACCAAAATTGAAGATGGTTCCCATACAGACACCCTGCCTACGGTTACAGTGCTAGGCTGACAAGTCCCTATAACTTCTGGCTGTGAAACCAGTGTGGGTTCGATCATCAGAAGAAATTGCGGGACTCTCAGATGCCTCCGCCTGGAGGGCCCCCACGCACGGACTCTCTCAGATCACTCCCTCTCGGCTGCAGTACCAGGGCAGCACTCTGAGGGGCACCCATGGCCTAGGGACAGGAATTGAAGCGTCCAGCATCAGACTGGGGGCTCATGAGAGCTTCCTCCAGGGCAGAAGTTCACATAGTGGCAACTGTTCTGTTCCTTAGCCTCCCCCACACACAGTCACAGTGCAGGCAGCACCATGACTGAGGCTCCATCAACCTGGCTCACACGGCTCACCCCGCCCTAATGATTACCTCAGCCTCTGTCCCATCCTAATTTTTGGCCCACCCAAGCTGGTAACAGTGCCTTTTTCATATGAATGGGTGGGCTAAGCACAGGCTACAGGACTTCCTAAAGCTGCTCAAACAGGCAAGAGCCGAGTGCAGTCCCTGTACCTTTTGCTCAGTGGTGCTAGTGCCAGCACTGGCAGCAGCTATTTACAGATCACTTTACAGCTTATGCCCTGTGGTCCCAGACAGGACACAGCTGGTGCAGACCCTGGCCAGCACAGGACAAGAAACCTCAGGACCTGCGCACCCAGGGGACAGCTGCAGGCCAGGTGAGAGCACCACCAGGCAACTGCTGCCACAAGCCTCAGAGGGACAGGTTTCTTGGACAGTGGCCAGAGCCAGCACTACCAGCTTTAGGGGATGGGTAAGTACCTCCCGGTGACCTGAGGACAGCAATCAGGACTCAGTTATAAGTGGGGAAAGCACTGAGTTCACAAGGAAGAGAAAACTTGAGTGTCCGGCTTGGGGACGAGGGGAGGCCGAGCCACTGGACCCTACAGGAAATCTATTACATCAGGCCATGCTTCTGAGGCGCAGTGTCAAAGCAGCTCTGCCTAGTATTAGAAACGGAAGAAGGCTGCCAAAATGAGGACACAAAGAAATATGGCTCAAATGAATGAACAGAACAAAATTCCAGAAAAAAACCTGAACTAAGTGGAGAAGAGCAATCATAAGTGCTCAGGCCCTTGTCTTGAAGGCAGTTTTCACCTACACGCCTTCCCACTGCCCAACGGGGCAAGCCCCGCAGAGGCAGCCCTTCTCACTTTTGGCCTTAGAGGCCAGAAAAGTCCCCACGGCTTACCTGGGGTCTCTCACAGCTGGATGGCAGAGCAGGGAGGTGGCGGGGGAACGCACCATAGCTCTATGAGAGCTCTGTTTTCCGCAGCTCCCACTCAGGGTCCTCACCTTGACTCGAGACTAGTCGTGCGAATCCGCCCTCAGCTGGAAAGCAGCCGGCACCCCGCACCAGGAAAGGCCCTCACCCCCAAGGGCAAGTCGGGGGGTCTTATCCGGCAGGGCTGTCCACAGTGCCTGAGACCGGAGAGCCGTGAGGGGTTCCGCAAGACCCCTTTGCTTAGCAGTCTGTGGACCCTCGGCCATCACTCAGAGTCTGCATTTCTGTGTCATCAGAGCCTGGGCTTATCCCTCTAGTGAGCCGAGTGGTCTTTGCTGCAAAGCAAGTGCTCATTTTCCTAAGTCCCTGTGTGGCACTTGAAGCGGAGGGCTTCTCATGGGCGCCCTGCGCCTTAAAAGACTGACCGGAACCGAGGGACCCAGTGAGGCTCCTGCTTTGTAGGGGAGATCATACTCTTCAGCACTGTGTATCTTTGTATTGCCTAGGTTATGTCCCAGACAGCTTTCTTTGCAGAGCTGGGCTTTGATCCTATTAGGCAAGGCCTTTTTCTCTCTGAGACCACCCTCTTTGAAGGTGTGGACTGCTCGGTGGTAACTCGTCTGGGCTCCCCAGGAGTAGGGAAAGTCCTGGGCTTTTTGTGGCCACTTTGCTTTTTGCATTGCCCCTCTGTTTTTTTGCGTGTCCCCTTTTAAATCTCAAGTTGTTCATATAGATGGATACCCGTTAGAGAACCAGTCTTTCCCTCTGCCAGACGAGAAACTGCTTACATTACACGGAGGCCCTCACCTCCCTGCGACTTCCCAGGCTCAAGTCAGCCTGACATCTCTGCCAGGGGCTTCCCCCCGGATGACATCAGAGGAGATTTTGTGAGACCTCCTCTCCTGCATTGGGTGCTACCCTTCGTCCCCTTTAGGGTCCTACCTTTGACAGATGACCAGTCCTGTAACTTTGGCCTTTATTTCCCAACTCTGCTCATGTTAAATTCATATCTTAGTATTCTCAGAATTCCAAGTTGGAAATTCTGAGATTCTTATATAGGATTCTTATATGATCATGGTCCTTCGAGGCCTCCAAGGACAGACAACGTGGGGTGCGACTCTGGGACCTAGTGTCCTGCCTGCTGCCTTCTAGTCTCCCTTACGTTCTATCTTCAACATATCTGACAGAGCCACGGAGTGCTTGTACTGAACTGAGATACCCTCCTTACATTTTTGTTTGATCCATAATTCTTGGGGTGATGTTTTCTTATGCCCTCAGTCATGGGGGTCCTCAACTTGTCACTTGTCTCATTAACAGCTTCCTGGGTAGTCAGAACTCCCTGCTAACATGTGAGCAGTTTCCTTATTGCAAATCTGCAGAAAATAGGCCTCCTGCACAAGAGATGTAAGATTAGATACCTTCAACACATATCAGAGCCCATGGGCAGTGCTGTCAGAGAAAAGAAAGGTGCCATATTCTTTCTTTCATGAGCCAGACTTAGGGAACATAATAGGGGTAGAGCCTGATGTGTGTAAACCCTGACTGATATTTTGACCCTGTCTGATATTGCATATGTTGCTGATCATAATGACTCTCAGCATGATCTCTCTTTTCATCATATCTCTTATTTATGTGGGTATTCTCATTGCTCTTGCCATGTAATCCATCCATTTCTTTGGTCACAGGGTCATCTCTTTTATCACTTGAGCTCTACTTTGGAGTAGTAGACAGAAGTGAATTAACTGTCGCATGGTCGGCTGGTTGCAGTTCTCCAGTGTGAGCTCTGGACAAATCCCATCCAGGGGACCTAGTCCCACTGCTGTCACTTATTCGTTGTCTATGCGTCTCAGCTTCTGTCTTTGTTGTGGGATTCGGATACCCTCTCCTGTAGGGTTTCCAGATTGTGGTTAATGTTGGAACTCATGTGCGCAGTGCTTGGAATGCATTGAGATTTTGCCCAGTATCTGTTATGCCTATGATGATGATTATTTTGACCCCAGAAAATTCTGCTCACCTTAAAGAATAAACAATACTTTGTAGTTTCCAGAGCATATGTGGCACTCGTACATGGAACTCCAAGTCAGACCAAAAGGCTGTTTGCGAAGAAACTCCGTGTAAATTTCCTCCCTTGAAACCATATTTTGAGTGTAGGAGTGTTTTTCCAGCTGAACACAACATGATCTTCTAAAATTTGGTTCAGTCTGACTTCCTTCCCACCTAGCTGTCCTTCCATGCAAAGCTCCCCTATCTTCATTAAGATCACCATCACGTAACATCTACTCCTGTCTTACTGTTTACCAAATGACAGTAACAGCAAGGGCAACAACACAACAAAAAGATCGTGCAGGCCATTTTAATAGAATGAGCTCTGACTCCCTAACGCAGCAAAGAGCCAGCCTGTCGGCTGCTGAGTTCCTGTCACAGACGACCTCCCTTATTTTGCAGATACTCTGTGGAGACGATGTGCATACACCACCTTGTCTGTGCACTGGGGTCATGTGCACTGGGACAGGAGCTCAGGATGTGTTCCATCCCTGTCCCCAGTGGAGAGTCTCTCTGGCTTACTCTCAATTCCAAAGTCACTGGTAAGGGTACATTTCCTTTCTAGGTGGAAGTCTTTCGACTGTGAGACCCAGTAGCTGACGGTCTGGCCCCAGCCCACCATTATCACAGCCTCATCTAGCCCACCCTGCTCCGACCTTCACTTACCGCCCACCTCAGGTCTTCTCACTTTCTTGGTGTTGTACTACCTTGCCAGATGGCACCTATTCTTGGCCCCTAATATGGAACCTCCTGCCCTGCTTATGACCCCTTCATTCTTCTGGTCTTCTAGATCTGATGGAGAACCTGACTGTCTACTTTATATGAAAACTGCTCTTAGACTTTAAAATCCTATGGGCAGCGAAGGCAGGCTTTGTTTCTCTTTGCATCCCCAATAGTAGTCTGGAGCCTACCAAAGAGCAGGTGCTAAATTAATATTTGGACAAGTAAAGAGCAAGTGTTCAAGTTGTCAGTCTTATTATGATGTAATTTCTCTCACATCCTTCAGTTATCTGAGCTAATCCATGTCCCTATACTTCAATTTTACAAAGAATCTAAAAGGAATAAAACAAATGATTGAGTACATTTTACATTTTTTTTCATTGTCATGATAACTCAGGATTTACTGTGTGGTAATATCCTCCTCTCGTTTTTTAAAAATAGGAATCAATATTTCTGTGTTATAGTGTCTTGTTCAGAATGACAGCAAATATACCAGTAATTTTCAATTTTTACATAATACCGGAATTCTTATTTTTCAGTTTGCTAATCTCCAATAAATGTATGATCTATTTCACTCATATACCTAGATCTGGAGCTAAATAATATCATATTGAAAGGAACAACATTTAATAAAGAAAAAAAATAAACCTCCAATTTCCCCATAGTCTATTGGAACACAGTATGCACTTGGCTCCTCACTGGTTAGAAGACTGGCTGATTTCTTGAACCACAAAGGGAAGACTCTGCCTGCGGTCTCACTAAGGATGGGAGCAGTTAGGGTCATGCCCTAGACGGCAAACTGGCCGTGGCAGCAGTAGGGGAACCCTGGCTGCAAATGTGACACAGTGTGGTACACCGTATCTTTTGCAATCAATATACAGATGAACATTTATGTATTTCTATATCTTTGAGTGTGTACCTTAAGGGAATGTGTTCAAAAGTTTCATGTTAGTTCATGGGTAATTGAATATTTCATTTTGTTACATATTGTCAAATTTAACATTTTGAGAATTTTTGCAACTGTGTTCTTAAGCAATATGGGAAATAAGTAATATAATAAATTAATTTTGAGCTACTTTTAGTGGTCTATATAATGTTAAACTTGTTTCATTTAAAATTTTGGAAGTTTTAATTTATTTTTGCATGCTCTGCAATTATTTTTGTGACAAAATTTATACATTTGCAGTAAGAGATTAATGTAACCAATGCTCCTGGTACTCATTTCCCAGTTTCAGCAATATCAACATGCATCCAGTTTTGTCTCATTATATCACCCTCAGCCCCCAAATTACTTTGAGGCAAACATGAGTAACAACACTTATCCTATTATGTACCTTTAAAGGTGAAAGCTCTTAATTACAAACACAACCACAGTACTGCAAGGGCACTGGCAGTCACAATTCCAAGATGGTCTCCCAGATTCCTGACTTCTGGTGTACATACATCTTCTTCCAGTTAATTTATCAAACACTAATCTAGGTGCTGCTATGAGGGATTAAGCAGGTGTAATTCAGGTCTCAAATCTGGTATTCTTAAAATAAGGAGATAATCCTCCATGGGCCAGACCTAATGAGGTGAACCCTTAAATGGGATGGGGCTTTTCCCGGTGAGAGAAATCTAAAGGGTGAGAGGGAGGTTCTCTTTGCTGGCTTTGAACATGGACAGAGCTGCATAGCCTAGCAAAGACCTAAGAGTGACCTGAGAATGATCCCTAGCTGACAGCATGCAAGCAAATGGAAACCTTTGTCTTTCCATTTCTGGTAGCTGAAATCTGCTCCCCAAACACATCGTATTGCAAGGAGCTCCTCAGCTCCACATGAGAATAAAGCTACCTGTTGCGATGAGAGCAGAGTTGTGAGATTTCTGATCGAGGGAACCCAGTTACTCCATCACCAACTTCTGACCATAGAACTCTGAGATATTAAATGTCTGTGGGGTGAAGGTATTAAATTTGTGCCAATTTGTTGTAAAGTGTTGCAATATATACACTGAAACTTTTTTTATCTATATTCTTTTTTTATTAGATCATTTAAGACATAATCCCTTGGCTATGTTTACACATTACAGTATTATTATTACTTTTTATCCTGTACATTACCTCCCCAGGGGATATTTGTAACTGAAAATTTGTACTTTTTGGCCACCTTCACCCATTTTACTCACCTTCTATACACTCCCCCCGCTCCAGCAAGCACCAATCTGTTCAATCTGTGAGTAAAGTTTTTAGTGTGTGTGTTTTAAAGACTCCACGTATGTGATACCATACAGTATTTGGCTGTTTTTGAAGTCTCTAATGAAAGAACACCACTTGAAAATCACTTATTTTACACCTCGCTCATGCTGTTACAAATATTGGGAATTCTTTTTTAGGATTCAATGATACTTCTTCCATGTGTGTGCATGTGCGCTCGCGCATAACATTTCCTTTATACTCTCACTCACTAATGATTACTTAGGATATTTCCATGTATTGGCTACTGTAAATAATGTTGCAATTAACAGGAGGGTACATATATCCCTTCACATTAGTGATTTCATTTACATAAGTACCCAATAGTGTAATTGCTGCATAATATGGTAGTTTTATTTTTAACTTTTTGAGGCATTTCTATAGTCTTCCGTAGTGGCTGCATCAATTTACAGTCCTCTGAAATTATTCATTTTTGAATAATCTAAGGACATCCAGATATATAACTTTTAAATTTAAGAAAGACCAAGTGGAGTAAGGGAAACTCATAATTGACCAACTTTTATATTTTTCTCTTTATATTCTGATCCCATCTATTTTAGTTTATTTCCACATTACCAGAAATAGATTCAATGGAATGCCAGGCTGTCTTCTTCAGGATCACAAAATCGACTTCAGGGTTTTCAATGTGTATTTCAGAACACAAAACTCTTACTCCTAAATCTGATACACAACAAGTACATGATCCCTGTCATCCATACACTTATATTCTGAACCTAAGTAGATCATCTGTTGACAGAACAACACTTGAAAAGTAACTCGAAATATCATTCAAAAAGGTATCCTTGCACATCAGGAATACTGGCCAACAGGCATTTCCAACCACAGTGTGAAGACACCACCTCAGTCTTCAATCAGGGTGACACAAGCAACTGGGTGTGGCCCTGGATTATGCATTGCCTTCCCAATGGGATGAAACTCTGCTTAGCAATGGAAGCTAAGTGACACTCTATCTCCACCTTCTCTTTACTCTCTTCACTTGTTCCATATGAAGAAGAGTGTACCTCACCCAATTTTCTAATAACACCTGCTACATTCTATATTTGCATAGGCACATGCAGGGTCTTCTTTGCCTAAACATCACCAGTGCAAGCATGAAGACCTCCAAAGAGCTGATGCTTCATTAATGACTGTGTAAAATAAAAACCATGAACCAAGAGGTCTGATTCACTGATTTATGTTCTCAGACAGTCTTGAAAAACATAAGCAAATCCAGGTACATATCTTTACAATTTACACAATAAAAGAATAAATGTATTAAAACAAAAAAGTAACCAATTTTACATATGTACATCTTCTTTATCCATTCATCTACACGTGGACACGTAGTTTGCATCCGTATCCTGGCTGTAAGATTATGCCGGGTACAGTATAAATAATATAGTAAATAACACTGTAATAAGTACATATAATTCTTATAGGTACTAAACTTATGGCGGTGAGCACTTTATAAGTTATTAAATGTCTAATGGATATGTTCCCCAGATGAAACTAATATTATATTGTAAGTCAATTGTAATTAAAATTTTAAGTGGCCAATATTGACTTTATCCACTTATTCATCTATGCATCTATCTATTGCTCCCAATTATTTTAGTGTAAACTTTGCTCACACCTCAAAAGACATTGCTATTTTAAAACCAAGATAACTTGTTCTGGATCACAAAAGTGATTGAAGGATTGCCAATTTTTATTTCAAAAACAAAATTTTATTCCTAACCTCATATATGGTATTAATGTGCAATCCATGTGTTCATAAACTTATATTTTGAATCTAAACATACACTCTATCTAAAAGAACACCACTTGAAATTGCAAAAAAAAAAAAAAGACGCTGAAAAATAAGCCAACAAGGTATTTTGCATATTAGGAAAATGTTTAAAAGGCCTTTCCAACCACACATTGAACGCTCTATCTCGACATCACTCAGGGTGGGGGTAGTGGCTGGATGTGGCTGTGGGGTGACTGCTGGCCTTGGAAGGACTGCCAGCCCTGGTTTCAGCCTGGGGTCTGGCTTGGGCTCTCTCTTCCTCATCTTTCAAAGCCTCTTCATAATAACATGGGAAGGCTGTGAGATCACTATCATTGAGCTTGGCCAAAAACTCTAGGACTTTCATCTTGCTGCTCTCAGCTAGGGCTTTTGGACCCCACAGGAACTCGTAGCGTGGAGGATCACTGTTGAGCACCTGCTGGTACACCAGGTATTCTTCCTGCACCAAATCTTGGGTGATAAGCTTCTTGGGCTCCCCAAAAATTAAGTGACTTTTTCCATCATAGATGCCCAACGTATTCAGGAATTCCCAGATCTCCTCCTCGGAGGCGCGGTTGCCATTGAGGAAGATCACGCTCAGGAGAGGCATTAGAATCCCTTTCAAAGGAAATCTCCAGCCTCTGCTCAGACTCCCATTGCTGGTGTCATCATGACTGTCAACAAGTATGTAATAGTTACTGTTGGGCTTGACTTCTTTCAATTCTAGGCCAAAAAACAGATCTATGCGCTCACAGGCTTTCCTGAGAATCTCAGGGAAGTCCTTTCTGTACCATTTGTGTACTACCTTCAGCATGTCTGCCTTCTTAATGGACTCTTTCATTTTATACTGATACATCAGGTACTCCACCAACTGAGTAGCCTTCTTCCTTAGAAGATCTTTGCCAGGGCTCCCAGTGGAAGTTGAAGCCCCAGAAGAATTTTTACTTTTATGAACACGGCCCTTAGCTTTCCCAGCAGATCTTTCACATGAAACACCTGCAGCAGCACCAGTGGAGACTGGGGTGCTCGAAGGTGCCCGGAGAGGGCCAGCACCAGTGGAGCTCAAGGGAGGGTCCTCCAGGACAGAAGAGGAGGAGCAAGCAGCCTCTTCTTCCTTTCCATTAGTGCCCTCAGCACTCTTAAGACTTTGGGTCTCAGCTCTGTTTTGACGGCGCTTCTCACGAGCACGGAGCCTACTCTTGTGACCACGAGGCATGATGATTGTTTTTCAGGACAGCAGACAACAGTGTGCACCAACAAAGAGGTGATGTGGGCACCTGGTGGATGGAGAAAGGGAGGATGTGAACACCTTCAACAGGTAGATTCCACCTTGGCTTTATTACACGCTGACTCTGTAGGCTTTTTTATAGGGCACTACTCTAGGAATCCACAAAGCTCCTGTTCTCCATTTCAGCCTGTCCCTTAAAAGTCCCATAAAGGAACCACAGAACTTTTAGAGACAGTCTTACGCTGCAACCTACCAACCCTGCCTTGACTTTATTCAGGTGACAGCAGGTGATGTCAGTGTAGCCCTTTTTGTTCTGGTATGTGGGGTTCTCTCAGTTCATCTGCAGTATTATCATGTCAACTCTGGGCACAGCCTAACCACCTTCCCCTCTGCTACTCTGATGTCAACACTGCAATGTTCTCAGGGACCCAGGAGAAAGAACTGGACAGGAGCCTCAGCCCACATGTGTGTCAGGGAACACCCAGTGCTGAGAACTTAGTGGGGCTGTTTCCTGAGTTCATTTGGATCCTTAGTTGACAGCCAAGGTCTTCACCTTGCCTTCTTTTAAGGCTTGGGACCACTCCTCTTGGGCTGACTGGTGGCTGGAACTTCCAACTAAAGCTTTCACCTCTCTTACAACTTATATAAGGAAGTGAGGGTGTTGCTCCACCTGACAGCCCATCCCTGAAATCTCTGGGGCTGATATTAAAGAGTTGAGATGGACACTTTCATGTCCTAGTAGAGAACTTCTCACAGTAAGAGCCAACATCCTTGAAACCCAATAAAAGGAAATGAAGTTGACCTTTTATGACCAAAAGTGGTCTCCCAAGGGTGGGCGCTGTTGTAAGAAAGTTGAGGTCCTATGGTAGGTGGCTTCACACAGAATCCCAATTCAAGGTCTAAAATTGTCTCCTGCTGGGGTCACACTTTCTCTTTTTCCTAACCTGGGACCACTCTCCTCAATTTCCTATTTCTCTTGAGTGACCACGGATGGGCCCTCCTGCATGACATCTATCCTTGATGTCTGACAGCATGGAAAATAAGGAGGATTCTTTGTGTCTCCACTGGTATGGTGTGGCACATCCCTCCAGTCCACAAAGGTCTCTCTGGGAAACCTGTCATAACATGAAATTTTGCCACCCATGACAGGAAGTTACCCCATTTGACCTAATCTTTCCCTTCCCTGAGATGGCCAGGAAAGAAGTGAGTGGAACTCATCATGGCGATATGCCCAATCTCCCAGGGCTGAAAACAGGGCTGAGACTTCAGGTGGCCACCTACTTTCTGGGCAGGGTATCCTATCCTTTATACTGTCACAACACTGAATCCACTTAGGGGCTGGCTCCCCTTTTGTGAATTGGGCTTCCTCTACCAAACCAAGGCCATCACCACCCTGAGACCACCGCCAGAGGAAAGGAGGGTCCAGCTCAGCCTGCCAGCTCTGCCCAGGCCGCATTTGCTGAGTTTAGAAGTTTGTGGGTGCAGCTCTCGCCTCCCTGAGTTACCGCTAAAAAGGATATTACTTTGCTTTTTCTTTGTCTCCTCTTCCTGGTGCCTCCTGGAGCTGAGAGCTGGGTTGCTGCTCTTTGCGGCCCACTTTTCAGGATAGAGGTCGACTCTTAAGCATTCAGGCCTGCATCTTGAAAGCAGTTCGGACCTTTAACTAGGCTCATCAAGAAAAAAATAGAGAGGACCCAAATAAATCAAATCAGAAATGAAAGGAGAAATTAAAACTGATACCACAGAAATACAAAGGAATGTAAGAAATTACTATGAACAACTATATGCCAAGACATTTGAAAATCTGGGTGAAATGGACAAATTTCTAGAAATATATAATCTTCCAAAACTGAATCAAGAAGCAGCAGAAAGCCTGAACAGACTGTGAAATTGAAGCAGTAATAAAACAAACAAACAAACAAACAAACAAACAAACAAAAAAAAACTCCTGACACACAAAAGCCCTAGACTGGATGGTTTCACAGGAGAATTTTATAAAACATTTAAGGAAGAGCTAACCCCTATCCTTCTCAAAGTATTCCAAAAAGTCCAAGAAAAGGGAAGGCTCCCAAACTCTTTTTATAAGACCAGTATCATCCTAATCCTACAACCAGACAAAGACACAAGAAATAAAACTACAGGGCAACATCGCTGAACATAGATGCTAAAATCCTTAACAAAATATTGGCAAACCACCTCCAGCAATACATTAAAAAGATCATCCACCATGATAAAGTGGGATTCGTCCCAGGGATGCAAGGATGGTACAATATTCACACATCAATAAACGTAATACATCATATAAAGAAAAGGAAAGACAAAAATCACGTGATAACATCAACAGATGCAGAAAAAGCATTTGATAAGGTACAGTACCCATTTATGATAAAAAACACTCAGCAAAGTGGTAGTAGAGGGAGCACACCTCAACACAATAAAGCTATGTATGAGAAACCTACAGACAACATCATAGCCAATGGGCAAAAACTGAAAGCTTTTCTACTAAGGTCAGGAATAAGACAAGGGTGTCTGCTTTCACCACTTTTATTCAACATAGTATTGGAAGTTCTAGCCACAGTGACCAGACAATAAAAAGAAATAAAAGTCATCCAAATTGGAAAGGAGGAAGTAAAACTGTCATTGTTTGCAGATGACATGATACTGTACATAGAAAACCCTACAGACTCCACCAAAAAACTACTCGACCTAATAAATGAATTTGGCAAAACAGCAGGATACAAAGTCAATATTCAGAAATCAAATACATTTTTGTAAGCCAACAATGAAGTATCAGAAACAGAAATTAGGAAAAGAATCTCATTAACTGTAGCAGCAAGAAAAATAAAGTACCTAATAATAGAACCAAGGAGGTAAAAGACCTGCACTCAGAAATGTACAGAACACTGAAGAAAGAATTAAGAAAGACACAAATAAATGGAAGCATATATTGTGTTCATGGATTGGAAGAATTAACATCATTAAAATGTTCATATTACCCAAAGCAATTTACAGACTCAAAACAATCTCTATTAAAATGCCAAGACATGTTTTGTAGATACAGAAAAAGTATTTGAAAATTTTATATGGAACCATAAATGACCCCAAATAGCCTCAGCAACCTTGAGAAAGAACAAGGTTGGAGGGATCACAATACCTGATATCAGACAATATTTCAAGGCCACTGTAATCAAAAAAATCTGGTACATGGAACAGAACAGAGAGCCCAGAAAAAGACCCACGACTCTACAGTCAATTAATATTGGACAAAGGTGGCTGGAGCATAAAATGGAGTAAAAACAGCCTCTTTAACCAATGGTGTTGGGAGATTTGGACAGGTACATGCAAAAAAATGAAACTCAACCACCAACTTACACCATATGCAAACATAAACTTAAGGTAGATAAAAGTCTTAAATATAAGTTGTGACACCATAAAAGTCCTAGAGAAAAAAATTAGCAGGAAAATTTCTGATATACCACTCAGCAAAATTTTTACCAATATGTCCACTAGAGCAAGGGACATAAAGGAAATAATAAACAAATGTGGCTACATCAAATTAAAAAGCTTCTGCATGCCTAAAGAAAACATCAGCAAAGTGAAAATGGTACCAATCATATGGGAAAACATATTTGCCAATGATACCTCGGACAAGGGTTTGATCTCTAAAACATATAAAGAACTCACCAGACTCCACACCAAGACACCAAACAATCCAATTAATAAATGGGCAGGGGTCCTGAACTGATACTTTTCCAAGAAGGACATACAGAGGGCCCATTGAGATAAGAAAGGATGCTCAACATCAGTAGCCGTCAGAGAGAGGTAAATTAAAACCACAATGAGATACCTCTTCACTCTGGTCAGAACGGCCATCATAAACAGATCAACAAACAACAAGTGCTGGCGAGGTTGTGGAGAAAAGGGAACCCTTAGTACACTGTTGGTGGGAATGCAGACTGGTGCAGCCACTGTGGAAAACAGTATGGAATTTCCTCAAAAAACTAAAAATGAAATTATACCCTAAGAATCCCAAAACACCAATTGAAAAGAACTTATGCAACCCAATGTTCATAGCAGCCCTATTTACAATAGCCAAGTGCTGGAAACAGCCTAAATGCCCATAAGTAAATGAGTGGATCAAGAAACTGTGGTCCATTTACACAACGGAATACTATGCAGCAGAAAGAAAGAAGGAGCTCCTACCCTTCGCGACAGCATGGATGGAACTGGAGAGCATTATGCTAAGCGAAATAAGCCAGGGGGCAGAAGACAAATACCACATGATCTTACCTACAAGCGGAACCTAATCAACGAAACAAACAAGCAAGGAAAACAGAACCAGAGACATGGAAATAAAGAACAAACTCAGAGTGACAGGACTGGCGGGGAGTGGGGGATAACGGGTGAAAAAAGGGGAAGAATCGTAAAGGAACATGTATAAAGGACCCATAGGCAAAAACAACAGGGAGGCAGGGGAAGGATTGAATGCGGGAGGTGACGGTGAGCAGGGCAGGGGAGAGTATTGGGGGCAAAATGGGGGCAACAGTAATTGAACAATAAAAATAAATAAATAAAAATGAAACTTTTTAAAAAAGGCAGTTCGGACCTGTATATCATCTGTTTGCCGAATCGGGCTACTGCCATCGAGCAAGGAAGGCCTTCTCGCTAACACATTCGAGGCCAAATTCAGCCCGACGGCTCTGCGACAGCCTTTCAGAGCCCAATGACAGGGGACGGGGTCGGGGGGAGCCCACCTTCGCTCTGGGAGGGCTGTGGTTTCTCCAAGTCCCACTCAGAGTCCTCACCTTTACTCGAGGCCCGTCTTAAGAATCCACCCTCAGCTGGAATGCAGCCCTCTGTGCGCACTAGGAAAGGCCCTCGCTCCCAAGCGGAAGTAGGTGGGTCCTATCCGGCAGGGCTGTCCGCGGTGCCTGAGAACTGATTGCTGCACGGGGCTCTGCGGAACCCCGTTGCTTAGGAGTCGGTGT